GCCCTCTTGGCCTTCATTTCAACTTTTAGGAATTCTTGTTCCTTTCTTTTAGAAATTAAAAACTTTTTTTCTCTAGTAAGAATTTTCACATGAAAATGCTACTTCCTACTCCTATTCTCTGATTTAGCTCTTTGGAAAAGGGTCTGTTATGCCAGCTGCGTTTTTTTCTGTTTGAATGGATATTTCAGATACCAACAGCAAGGACATTTAATTTGTAGGCCTTAGTCCAAGATGATCCTGACTATAGAATGAACTAAACTTTTCTAGTCTCAAAGAAATGTCTGGATTGTCTTCTTTTCTGAACTGTTAACACTTTGCTCACAACTTGGTAGTGATAGATGCTGACAATGTAGCTTAGGTTTTTTTTCCGATTCTCAACATGTCAAGGCGCACATTTCTGAAAACTGCCCAGGGGACACTAGTAGTGTGATTTCACCACTGCGTAAAGCACTTTATCATTGCTCTTCTTCCTGTTGAAATTTTTTCTCCAACAACTTCTTCTTTTCTTCTAGTTCCAAATAATTTCTATTTCAATGTCCCTCCCCCCTTTTAAAATCATTTTTAGTGGCGTTTTCTCTCAATAATCACATTACGTAGATTATCCTTGATTCTTCCAATGACAGAACAGGATGGTATGGTTTCAAAACTGCTAAGCACTACCTTCTGTTCTATGATTCTCCACTAAAATGGAAGCAAAGTGTCTACCATGGAGCCCTTTTAAGAAGCAAGGTCTATTATTTTTACACCTGTGTGCTCAGTGCGTGGCACTGCATCTTGTATCAGCAAGTAATACTAAACTCATTTTAAATGCAGTAGCAAATAATGCAAACACAAAGAGCAACATTCTGTTGTAAGTCTTGAAGAGGATAAAAGTAATAGTTTGTGATATTCAGTGACCCATGGTGAATTAGGTGCCACGGAAAATAATATCTTTTCCTTTACATATAGGTGCAGTGTGAAACTGCAATCCTACTAATATCAATAATTGTTGGGAAAAAAATGGAAGCAGATGATTTCAGTTCACACTGAAAGCCAGGAAAAAAAATCCCAAAGTAAGAAATGGATAATGTTAGGTTCTGAAGTATTGAAATATTTTAGAGTAGTATTTGTCAATAGAGGATTTGTTACACAAGCTTGGTTCCAGGTAACTCACTTTCACTTCTTAGTGCAGGCAGGGGAGTGGGTGGAATGGTTGTAAAGATATGTGCAACAGTAGAAACAGAAAACAAAGTCATTTCCTCAGGCCATTTTCAATCTAATTGAAAAGGAAAATTCAGCACGTCTGTTCAGTCACTGGAGAACAGGAGCAACTCTGCAATGCCAACAGCCCTGCAGGAGGGAGCATGAAAGAACTGACACAACCCCCAATTAGCTGTGAGATATTGCTCTATAGGGATCCAGTAAGCTCATGGTAAACAGAATTAAATATGCTTTAACGTGTTTATTTACAAAGATCTTCCTTATAGAAAAATCTTCACTCGTTTTATCATTCAAGTTAATATGCTAGTTTCTTATCACTGTTATTTCCAATTACCACCATTTAGTAGCTTCTGTCATCCCATAGTTCCGGAGGTCAGAGATCCCAAATCAGTCTCAGTAGGTCAGAAATCAAGGGGCCAGCAGGCTTATTCCTTGTAGATGCTCTGCATATAAATCTGTTTCCTTAGCTTTCCTGGTTTCAGAAGCCACTTGCCTTAGGAACTTTTCCTCCATCGGAAAAGCATGTTACTCCAAGCTCTGCTTCCTTATCATACCTCCTTTCAGATTCACTTGCCTCCAAATCCCAGGGGAATATTACAGGATCCAAAAATACAGATCCTGCCATTAAGAAGAAAGTTGTCCAAATAGTAAATAGCTGTGACAATGCAAATAATTTTCCTTTTACAAGGCCTTGTTATTTCAGCAAAGAAGTGGTTTTATTCTTCAGATAGTTTGAGACTCTCCAAAAATCAATGCAACAGCATGAACAGAAGCATCCAGTCTACAAAAGGCATAAAGACTCAGCCCTGGCAGCTGGTGCAAGGCGTCAGTGACCAACTTGAGCTCTCCACTTATTGGAACATAAGATCGGTGTGAGGCTCTTACAGTCTACAGAGAATGGAGTAATGATATCGAGGTTGTCAATATGGTGCTGAAAGAAAAAGTACAAAGGAAGAAACCAAACATTAGATATACTGAGAAACAAGAAGCCAACTGTGGCTAGCATTTTCTGCCATGCTGTAACTGATGTAAAATAAGAAACGAGTGATTACACACTGCTGCAGGGATTCTGAGTGAAAAAGCCTCTCAGTGTGAGAATTACTAAGTGCCTCTTCCCTGGAAACAAATGTGAACCCAAGATGTAACCCAATATTTCAGAGAGTACCATCTCCTTAAGGGAGAAGGCAGGGGGTAGAACAAAGTCATGTCTGATTAAATATGTGCTTGATACTGAGAAACAAGACCAAAATGAGTTAGTCTTGCTAAGATATATTTTCGTAGATGCTTGAAGTCAAAATACAAATAAGACTTAGGTTACCAAATGTGTGTGTGTGTGTGTGTGTGTGTGTGTGTGTGTGTGTGTGTGCGCGCGTGCGCGCTCGCCAATATCTGCATCTTCCAGCAAGTAGTGCCAAAACTGCAATGAATAGTGAATGCAGTTCATGGCCATTTTAAGGGTACTAATGTTTAGTTCATCGGGATTATGAAGTGCTTGGAAAGCAGTTTCTCCATATAGAATTCCCGCTTTACATGCAGTTTTACTTTTTATGGTTTTAGTTATCTATGGTCAACAATGATCCAAAAATGTTAAACGGAAAATTCCATAAATAAGAGAGACCATATTCACATAACTTTGATTGCAGTGCATTATAATCAGTAGTAGTTATTGTTAGTAGTATTTCACTATGCTTAATTATAAACTTTGTGGCAGGTATGCATATATAGGATTAAGGCATAGTATACACACATAGTATTTAGTATTAGGCACGGTTTCCTGTGGGAGTACTGGAATTTATCATCCATAAATAAGGAAAAATTTTATTGTATGTATGCGTGCATGAGTGTATAAACTTGGCTACGATGTCCACATAATCTTTACTGGGATTTATGTATCAACTTAAAAGCAAGAGGATGGACATAATCCAAAATGGATGATAAGGAATCAGATGTAAATCATTTAGAATCCAGACTCCTCATTTGTAAAATATAAAGCTTTGTTGTTTTCTAGAAACAAACAAATGTTGCAGAAGTCATACAAAGTGCTGGCACATAGAATAGCATTCTAAAGTCAACCAGCATAGCCATCAACAGCAATAGGAATAAATTTTAAAAATACATAAGAGTGTGTGTGTGAGTGTGTGTGAGTGTGTGTGTGTGTGAGAATGAGGAGTACCCATTAGCTTATAGGTTTTCAACAAACTGTCCTCTCATTTAGATCCATTACCTACAAACTAAAAGGAGCTAAAATGATTTTTACAGTTTAATGGGTACTTTTTTAAAAATTTTCTAACAAAATCTTTATTTTTCATTAAAAAAACCCACATTTTAAAATGCATTTTGCTTTCATTCTCCATTCTCCAAGAACTTATTGACATTTAATGGTAGAAATGAACACCTAAAAAGGTACTATATTTTGTGTAGGTATTAAGAATCTTATTTTCAATATATATTTTGGGAGACAGTGTCATAATATGTAGTAACTGGCAGAGACTGGAGTATAATTCTTCCCAGTTCCTCATTTAGATGCAGTGTGCGAGGTGCAGAAATATGACGAGTTGTTCTGGTCGTCCAGTGAGGTGCAGTCGGGATGACCACGTCTGATGTGCATGCCAGGGTTTCGTGCGCTCCACAGAGACGGAAGCTGAACGTTGCCTTTACTGACACATTTTTATGAGCATGGATGGATGCCTTTGGCGATTAGGATGCATGATTGAAAGCATAAGCTGGAGTGTTTGTGGACAGCAAAGTAGCTGTTGTCAGGAATATGTCCACAAGCAAACACGCCAATCAGGACATAATGAGTTTACCTAAGAAGAACCATGCTATTCTAAGAAATGCATTTCTGAAAATATTGACGGAAAGTCTATACTTACATTGGAATCCAAGTCTTTTGTTCTGTTATTTGAAATGCAGAAATAACTTTATGAGGAGGTCAAAGGAGCAATCAGCGGGTTACAGTATCTGAAACAGTCAGCCAAACCTTCTGACCCTTCATACATTCTCATCCTAGTTTTCCATTCTAAAGGTCTATGAAGGAGATGAGTTATGTGAAAAAGTTAACATTTTCATAGACATTTGCTATTTATACTGATCCTAAAAAAGGTTTTGTAAGAGACACAGTTGCTGAGCAAGCAGGTTTTTGTTATTGTTATTTTATTTGAGGTTTCCTTTATAAAAAGGGAGACAGAGTCATTTAAACCATGCATTACCACACCTTCAAGCTGATTTTCAAAAAGATCTTCCACTCCAGCAGGTAAATTACTAGTTTAGAGAACCTTGGGAGAAGGAAGGCCATTTATTTCAAGGCTGTGAAACAACCTCACTTGGCACACTTACACCAACATACACACTCACACACTCACACGCATATTTGAAGGGATGGCCCCATTACAGTTTTTGCTTACTAGGCCTATTTCTGAATTGGAGTAAGAACGAGAGATAAATCTATGGGAGTTAAAATTCCCTTTATAATTTGTGAATCTAGCTTAGAAAGTCTGGACAAAATGATGATTTTATCTCCTCTGACATTCCCTTTCTAGGCCCATATCTTTTATTCCTTCTTGACCAAACATCCTCCTTTGGTGGCCCTTGGCCCTCTCTTCCTGGAAGTGGAGGTCCTAAGTAATGCCTAGAATGACACCCGAAGTTTAGGAGTAGCACAGGCCTACAGAGAGCCTTGGCAGAATAGCTGAGGGAGCCAGGGCCAGAGAGGAGTAGGAGAAACCCAAGAAGGAGGATGTCAGAAAAAGGATGTGAGGGCAAGCCCCCGCCTAGCAGTTTCACTTCCTCAGGGCGCCCAGCAAAGCAGAGCCCTGGGCTTGCTGCTGGAGCCTTTGGGCTGTGTTTCCGCAGAACTTGGTCGCGGCCCCTCCTGGTGGGAAACCAAAGCAAGAGTGGTTACTAAAGTTTGCGGAGAATTCAGGCAGGGCACAGGAGGCAGCGCTGCTCCGCACATCCCTTGACTGTGACCTCTGCAATGCTGCCGGCTGCACGGAGTAAGGTGCACGCGAGCCGCGAAGTGCCCCTTTGCAGCCCAGAGCTCTCAGGTGGGTGCCCACGGGTTGAGAGAAGCTGGCTGGGAAGCGGGCAGCCCTGGGGCTTGCAGAGACAAAGTGCTATCACTAGACTAACTATTCCCGGACCACCAAGTCCAGGGAGCCTCTGTGACTAGTGCACCTGGAGTGCACTTTCTTCCCTCTACTGGCCAGGCAGCTCAATGGTTCCTTTTTTTCTAGGCCTCTTGATGGGAAAACTGGAAACCCCTGTGTGGGAGCAAGCTTTGAGTTCTACTCTGGCTCCTATTATTCTGAGGAGCTGGAAATTTCCTGAAGTACTGGGACAGTGTGAAGGCATGCAATCGCATTGAAACATGTTTGAAGTTGTACATGTGCGTTTTACCAAACCCTTAGAATGCTAGTTTAGGACACTCACGCTGGAGTGCCTGGGTTTAAGTCCTTGATCTGGCTCCTGGCTCTAACTGCTAATGTGAACCAAAGGGGCCTGCGAGCGATGGCCCAGGGAGCCGGGCTTTGGGAGACTGGTTCCCAGCTTCTCTGCCTCTAAAGTGACTAAATAAGAATAAAGTTATACACAAAATTTTGTGAGCATGTCACACAACCATGCCTTTAAAACCTCGTGGTTCCCCTGCCTGGCTTATTGTCGCCCAGCCTGGTAGTCTAGCTGGAGAACCACTGTGTCAGACTTGCGAGTCACTGTGCAGTGCAGAATCCCAGGCTCTGCGTTCCATTCTTCGTTAACTGGAAAAAAGGACAGCAGTCGGTTTGGAAGAGTTAATACATTGATTTACGTATTCAGAGAGATGTTAAGGCAGTTCTGTTTAGTTCTTTCCCAAGCAGAAAAACGCTTTGAAAACTGGAGTGAAGTCTTGTCTATTTTGGTGACAAAAAATTTGAAATCTCTGTCTATCATAGGTTTTTCCCAGACTTTTCAAGTGCACTTACAAATCACATGATTCTAAAACTGTTCACTTGAGTATTAAAATTACTGGGGATGCTCATAGCAAGAAATGCAAAAATAAAAAATGCGCTTTGAATAAACTCTTAATTTGTTAATAGAATTGAATTTTCCTAACCTCTTAGCATATTTAAGGTAAGATAATTTTGGCTGAAGCTGCTTCCCTTGGATACTGTAATTTTCAGTAAATACATTTAAAAGATTGCTTTCAACTAAATGGGAATCCTATTTTAGCTGATGGAAAACAAGGAAGAACTGAGATGCCATGAAAATTGAATGTGTGAACATCTGACGTATGAGACTTTGGCCTTCCCAGCAACTGATGATGGTCCCCAGGGCTTCAGTGAAGCAGCCTGTGCTAGTGTCCTTAAGGAGATCAGTGGTGCCTCTTCCATCTGTAGAGGCATGCATCTTTGGTGATTTCAGTTTAATTTAGTTCAATAGCATGGAGTACAATTTGTTTTAGACTTTGGAATTTAGCATTTTAGCCAGAAAACAGCTTCTACTTCTCTTTATAGTTAATACTTCTCATATCAGGATGCCAATAACAGCACATATACAGTGTGATAAAAATTAACTCTAGGTCATTCTTATTTTTTTTAAGGCATTTTCTCTTATCTCCTTTGGTCCTTTTTGACCCAATATTAATCACTAATGTTATTTCTTTTTTGAGTAAGGCAGTAAAAACATTCTCAGAATGAATTCTCAGTTTGACACTTGCTCATACCCAACTCTTTGGAAGGGATAGTCCTCAGTTTGTTGACTTTTACAATCTCAGTCTGCTTGCTCTTTAATGGGAAACATTTCAGGGAGATGTCTCCCTCGGCTTTGGGCAGTGGCGTGCTTCTTCCGCAGTGAAGAAGGCATGTTAGGGAGCAGTCAGTCCAGCTGTTTAATGTAAGAGAAAGCACATCTGGTGGGGCATTTGCAGATAGTTCCATAAGTAGTAAATGTTAAAGATCATACAATCAAAGCCCACCCTACCTAAGCTGTGCAGTAGGAAGTATGTGAAAAATTTTATTTCTGAGAGTAGGTGACTGACTTGTAATGGCACCATCTGTACACACTATCATTAGAAAAACCTATCTACCACTGAGTACCCACTTGTCGTTTAGCAGAAGCAGCAGAAGTGCTACATCCAGTCCCGAAACAAAGTAAGTGTTATGTACAGTGCTCAAACACTACACTTAGAATGTGGTTTTAGGTTTATGTTTAACTAGATACTGTCACAGAGTACTGGTTGTGAATCCAATTAAGTAAAAATATATGTGCAAAAGTAAATGTCTAACAGTTGTGGAATACTTCAAAGTACAATGGAGCTATTTTTACTTAAATATTTAAAGCTGTATTAAAACACCCAATGTAAGTTAGAACCCTTATTCCTATCAAATATCCTTATGCAAAATGCATTACACATTAAAAAAATTAAGTGGTACTAATTACCTGTTATAACTGCTTTCTGTGACTTTCCTCATTAATGTTAGACTATCTAAAATAATTTTGGAGCTAGCTATGAAACAAAAAATAGGAAGGTTGGGCCTTACTGACATTATTTAAAAAGTAAGTTTTCCTTTGGCTTTGAACTTTATTTTCTGCTTTAAATATCAATAATGCTGCCTGTTTTACCACAGATGTTGAGATAGCCCAGGCAGTGACAATATAAGGTACTGTATAGAATTGCACTCCTCTTTTATCTGTTTTGTACACTGAAAAAAAAAATGAGCCTTTAAAAAATTTACCAGTGGATAGAAAATGTTTGTTGTTTCTAAGTGTTCTACACTGAGGTAATCCAGAAAGGCAACTTCCTTTGCAGTCATGAAGAGTAATTCATCAATGCCTTGTGGTCTTTTCAAGATTTCCTTTGTATCTGGTTTATTAAAATAACAGGTTTTATTACACTCTGTGTCATATTTTCCTTTCTTTTAAGTCTCTTTGCCACTTTTCCATTAGCAGTTCCTTTACTTCATTTTTTATATGTGTTCCAAATTATAAAAACAGAATGTACAAGAACAGTTCTCTGACTTGGAATTCTGTTTGCTACCCACCTTATTAGTTATGTCTGATCAGTACTGAAGATAAGTCCTCATGCTCTGGTCAGAATCAATATTCTTATTCCTTTTCACAGTTAACTGTCAAAGGAACAAAACAGTGTGAAGCACAACTGAGAGCGTGGCTTTCTTTTTATGGATACCATTTACTGTGAGTTATCCGGAGAAGCAAGAGCACTAGAGAACAGTCCCTAACTCGGATCAAGAGGTTATATTATTCAGGAGAATTATATCAAAGGATGTGATAATTCATTGTGTTCTTTCATTTATGAAAGCTTTTCTGAGCTTTTGAAACTAGAACTTCTGAGTCACATTTTTAGGGAGTGTGGAGAAACACCAAGTGTATGATTCTGCAAACCACTGGAATAGTAAAGTAAACTGGATTGTGTTACTGTTTAGAAAAGTCCCTTAGGTTTATACAGTTTCCATTGGTTGATCACATTTTATTTAGGTTTAACAGGTTAATGAAGTTAACATTTTAGTAGTTAAATGTATTTTTAGTATAGTTACTGGATTATTAAGTACTTGGGAGAAATTGAGTGGATAAAATTGAGGCAAACATCTAATTTCAGGTAATTTTCTTAATTCTCTCATTGATTTTTCAATAGAAACGTAGAACTTTTGTTACTCCAAGGTTGGAGACCTTGCCTTTAGTGCTTAATGTCAATCCATATCCATATAGAATGGACAAATCCATGTAAGCCACTCAAATTCTCAGAAATAGTCACTTAGGTCAAGAATAGGCTCTTGATTCAAAGATAGCCAGTCCATTGACTACTTACTAGCCAATCACAAGTTGTATTTGGAGTTATACATATTTGCTATAATCAACAAAGATCTTCTTGTTTATTAAAGCACAAAGGTGGAGTTACAGAGAGATGGAGAGACAGATATTTTCCATACTCTGATTTGCCCCTAAGGTGGCCACCATGACCACTGCTGGGCCAGGCTGAAACTAGGAAATTCATTTGGGTTTCCCAACGGGGTGGCACTGACCCACACGCTTGACACGTCTTCCACTTTTTTCCCGAGGCCTTTAGCAGGTAGCTGGATCGGAACTGGAAGAGGCCGTGTATTGTCTAGCACCAGTATGGAATACTGGAGTCACGGTTAGCAAAATGACCCACTGTACCGCAAAGCTAATTCCTCCCTGCAGTTATTTGTAAGTCTGCCGACTTAAGTCTCTCAAGTTGGTGAGGAAATAATTCATTAAAGGTGTAATATTATTGGAATTAAACAATGTCACAAGGTTTTAGATTTAAACTTTGTCTTTAAAAAATTATAATAGTATTTTCCATGGTTTAATAAGATGTTGTTTACACAAAAATGTATACATAGTGTTTCAAGTAGATTTAAAATGTATTTAAATTGAGAAATATGAATAAGAATGGTTTTGACATTTAACGTAGAAAAAGAGGAAGCAGGGTTGTAAGTGTAGCATAACTTACCAGCTATTATTTCAATTCCCCTGATGTATGAAGAAAAATGGTGTCATTGACAGGACAATCTGAAAATATTTTAGATATTATCAGTGGATTAATGCCAATATGAATTGTGCTGTAGTTCAGAGGTTATTAGTCCTTGACCAACACATTGTTTTTCTGTAATACAGTAGAAAGGATAACATCCTCATGAAGTTACAGGTGATATACCACATTTGAAAATAAATGAGAATCTGTTGAGTTTTGCTAATCTGCATAAATAATGTTCAGGCATTATCAAATAAGGGTAATGATGCAAATAAAGGAGTGAGACAAAGAATGAAAATTTTTTCAGCCTTTAACACAAAGTTACAGAATGAGTAAGTGAAAGTTGCAGAAGAAACTGAAAAATAATATAATTCTAACTTACATCACTCTATGAAAAGTGTCCCATAATGGATAGCTTTGGATGAGTTTTTAAGCAGAGGAATGCCGTCATTCATTGGATACTGTTTTTCTTAGTATAAAAGAACTACTATTGGAATAATGGGTTGAAAGGGAACAGCCATGGAAGTTGGTAAATACATAGGAATTAACTGACAG